CGAGTCCTGCGTCGGGCTCCCTGCTCGGCGGGGAGTCTGCTTCTCCCTCTGACCCTCCTCCCTCTCGTGCTCTCTGTCTCTCATTCTCTCTCACAAATAAATAAATAAAATCTTTAAAAAAAAAAAAAGAAGTTATTACAATTAAATAAACTGCTCACAAAATGGGAAGTGTTTTGACCATAAATGTTGGTACCTATAGCGAATTAACTTTCCTACCTTGGAAAAGGGTAAGTTGTATACTGCCCTCAGAGAGGCCTTTATAAAACCTCGTTAACTTTTTCCTTTCAGATACCTGGACCTTTCAGGTCAACAGATTATCAGAGTTCCCCAGGAGGCGGCTGGGATGGAATCCTAGTTCCCAATGAATGGGATTTTGTAGATGTAATGGTGAAGGCTATAAATAAATAAATAAATAAATAAATAAATAAATAAATAAATAAATAAATAAATAAATATTAAGCTCTCGAGGCTTTCACAAAATCTGCAGTGCAGAAATTCAGGTGCCCTTTTCTGTTATATTAAATTGCTACAACACAACTTGAGGTTGCTATGCGTTGTAAAAGATTCAAGGACTTTCATATCTTCTTCTCTCTCTGCTGGAGTCATTGTGCTCCATGGCAGACAGAAAGCCATTTCCTCCTGGTAGCAGAAGGGCTCTGGGGTGAGCTATCTCTCAATAACCAACTAATTAATTGAACACTGATCAATGGTTTTTAAAACATTTTTTGCATTTTCAATATTTGATTTTTCTAATCATCATTCTTCAAAAAGATTTTTTCCTAACACATAGGCAAGTATCTACCTGCCTCCTAGACCTGATAACTCTTAATATTTTGTTATATTTGCTTCAGATGAATTTTTTCCCAAAGAAATAAAACATTATAGAGTCAATGGAAGCTTCTTTCCTACTCTTTTCTTAGAGATGCATCTGTTTTTATCTTTTACTACATCCTGTGTAACAGTAAGCAATACAAAGTACTTTTGAAATTAAGGGATATTTTAAACATAAACAAAATTAGAGGGATTAGTATATGAGCCCCACTTGGGTTTTTTTTTTTACACATCCAGGTGAATGGGATCATCTTCCACATATCCTCTTGCAATTTAATTTACGTCCATCATTATATTTCCTAAGCAGATCCAGGTTGATACATGTAGATCCATTCCATTCATTCTAACTGCTCTGGAGTCTTCCATTATAGGCATGGCTACCAATTATTTTTCTGAAGGTGGAATCTTAGGCGCTTTCCCATTTTTCCAACAAGGCTACAGCGAGGATCCTTGTTCACATTTCCTTATGCACATGCACAAGGGTTATTTTAAGAAGTGGAATCACAGAATTAACTGATATGCACGCTTTGAATTTTACTAGGTTTTGCCCAATTGCTTTCCAATTTGGTTTTACCAAATTACACTCAACACAAAGAACCTGTGGGTATGTTTCCCCACATCTTCACCAATGCTTATTATTGTTAGAATTAAACATTTTACCTATCTCAATGGCTGTGAAATGATATTTTTATGGTTTTAAGTTGTATTTCTTGGATACCAGTGAGGTTGAGCATTTTTTCAGGACTCTTCTTCTATGATGTACCTGAACATGTCATTGACCATATTTTATTTGAGTGCTTATCTGTTTCTTGTTCATTTGTTTGACTAGATTTTAATAACGAATGAGCACTTTGTTTAGACACTGTGCAAGGGGCGGGGAATACAAAATCAATGAGGCACAGTGTCTATCCTTAGATGATTTCTCAATTTACTGGGGAGGAGAGTGCACATATGAATATATACATAATAAAGACAAGCTCTGGGTGCTATAGGACCACAGAAGAGAGAGGTGCAAGTGTCAAGGGCCTTTTAGTTGAAAATTATAGAACCCCAACTCAAACTAGCTTAACTAAGGAGAAGATTTATTGGCTCCTGTCAACTGAAGGTACAGCACGGCTGGATCCATGGCTCACACAGAGCCCTCTGGATTCTCTCCCCCTCTCTCCATTCACCTCTCATCTTTGCTTCTCTTTGTGTGTTGGGCTGATTCTTTTGATGCAAACATGCTCTCTCTAGGGCCTTGTTGGGAGTTTGGGGGGTGGAGTGGAAAAATTACAAGGACTAATTGCTTATGGTTGATTGAGGGGGAAAAGACAGAGACAAAGAGAAGAGAGATAGAGACAGAGTGTCAGAGAGACTGGTTGATTAAGCTGTCTTACCTCAGTTCGGAAAATTCATGGAAAGGATGAATTCGTGGAAAAATAACAGGTACTAAGAGTGGCCCAATCCAGTGATAGCACAACCTTGCATTAGGGAGAACAGAAGTATGGGTGCCTGTATGCTTGGGGAGGCAGGCACTGTCGTTCCCAGCCCCGGCAGAACTACGTGGAATGGGGAGGAGTTTCTCATCTGGCGAATACTGAACAGACAAAAGCAAGGGATGTACATGACAGAGAGACATTAGGGAAAGCCTCTAAGAGAGGTACATTTTTGGCACCATCTGGAGCCCGGTGAGATACAGATGCAGGAACAATGGATTAGGATCTAGGAGATCATGGTGTCAATTCCCACGCTGCTACCTACAAGCTGTGTGATTGCCTAACCACTAACCATTCTGAGCCTGTTTCTTCATCTGTCAAATCAGGATGGTTCTATCAACTTTCTAGGGCTGTGGCAATGATAAATGTTATAACCATCCACATATTTTTGCTGACCTCAGATTTTGCTGAATTCAAGTTGCTCCAAATAAATGGGACATTGGCAGCTGACTTCATTATACTGAGATCTTTGCTGCACTAAAGTATAAGGCTTTATTCTTCTGTATTAAATATTTATTCGCTTGTGCTAAGAATGATAGTGAATGAAAATACTCCCAACATATAATGTATATTTAATTGTTATTTCATTTTTGATACATTTCCATTGATGTCTTTTTTGTAGTGGTAGTCAATCCTTTTAACAAATATTCATCTTCATTTGAGAGCAAGAGTGGATTCATTGGTTTCCAATATTACCTTTTTAAAAGGGCATATTTTTAAGCACCAGTGATTTTTTTTAAAGTCTCTTTTGAGCTCCTGGAACATTGTTATTTTCAACTGGAATTAGAGAACATTTCTTACATATTTCAAACAATTTCACCAAACAAGGATGCAAACACATGTATTACATTAAGGGAAAATACAAATGGGAACGGGCCTTTATGAATACCAGGTAATGATATTTCAAGGACCATGCAGAACCATTCATTTCCGATATTCTCATTACCATTCCCAGCAACAGGCATATATGTCTCTCAATTCCTCTGTAGTTCTGTTAATCTCTCTACACAATATTCAATTTTCTTACAATGATTCAGCTGATTTATTATTTCCCTCTTGCGTGTTAACTGCTAATGATGCAGTGTAACCCCATAAATTTGTTTCAGTCTCTCAGCTTCGATACCCAAGGTCATTAATACCCCCCAAAATATCCTTTGCTTACATCACTCCTTTAAATGTGCTCTTTCTTGCCCAATGAGCTGTTACATAATTACATGGTGCCAGTAACAATATCATCTTGTTTTTATAGTTTTATGATTAAGGATATAAAAATGAACTGAATTGAAGAAAATGTTAAAAGGTATTTGCAAAATATAAGAGATTGCTACCATGGTTTATCACATATAAATGATATAGTATGTATACATTTAAAATAGAATTTTCTTAGTATATGGTTTAAAAATGTGTTTGAGTAAAATGCACTATATTAATGTGTGACCCGATGGTTCTGCACACACAGAATATGTCTTCTTTAGTGGAGAGTTAAAATGATTATGAAAGATTTATCCCCCCCATTATAACCAGGTGTTTTCTATTAAATATTCTCAACCAAAGTTACAATGCTTGAGAAAGGGGAAATAATTTAAATGGGACCAGCTCCCATATCATATGAATTTCAACCTGTTTACAGCTTGAAATGGTTAGGGTAACCAATTGTCCCAGTTTTTCAAGGACTGAGGGGGTTCTTGGGATGTGGGACTTTCAGTGGTAAATCCAGAAAAATCCCAGGCAAACTGGGATGAGTTGGTCTCCCTATTGGTAGTTTGGTCTCAGTTCTTCCTCCCTATCTCTCTGCATCCACATTTTTGCCAGGACTTTACTGTGGGCAAAGCATACCTCCTTGTCCCTTGGCTCTGGGCTTGGCCATGTGACTTGTCTAGGCAAAAATATATGGGAAGCAGTGATGGTGTGCCTCTTCCAAGGTTTCAGAGGCCCAGTGCATTTCAGGTTTTTCTCTGTGTCTGGGCAATAGGCCCTAACTAGCTTGCTGGCCCAAGGAGGATGAGAGGCATAAAGCATAAGCCAGTCCAGCAGATACACAGACCAGAGGTGAGAAGCAGAGCCGCCCAGATGAGCCCAGCCAAGATCAGCAGAACCCCAGGCAACCAGCACATGCAGAGTAGAAAATGCTTACTGTTCTAATGCCACTGAGATTTTGTGGTTATTTGTTATACATAACTATTACAATAAAAGCTAATTGATACAGGTGGTAATAAGTACTTATTATAGTACTTATTAGTACTGTCCTACTAGATGCTAGGCACTGGGGATGCAATGACAAGCAAGATGGACAGAATTCGGGCGCCTGGGTGGCTCAGTTGGTTAAGCGACTGCCTTCGGCTCAGGTCATGATCCTGGAGTCCCTGGATCAAGTCCCACATCGGGCTCCCTGCTCGGCAGGGAGTGTGATTCTCCCTCTGACCCTCCCCCCTCTCATGTGCTCTCTCTCATTCTCTCTCTCTCAAATAAATAAATAAAACCTTTAAAAAAAAAAGATGGACAGAATTCTTTTATTTATTTATTTATTTATTTATTTAAATTTTTTAAATTAACATATAACATATTATTTGTTTCAGGGGTACAGGTCTGTGATTCATCAGTCTTACACAATTCACAGCACTCACCATAGCACATACCCTCCCCAATGTCCATCACCCAGCCACCCCATCCCTCCCATCCCCCTCCACTCCAGCAACCCTCAGTTTGTTTCCTGAGATTAAGAGTCTCTTATGGTTTGTCTCCCTCTCCAGTTTTGTCTTGTTTCATTTTATCCTCTCTTCCCCTATGATCCTCTGCCTTGTTTCTCAAATTCAACATATCAGTGAGATCATATAATAATTGTCTTTCTCTGATGGACTTATTTCGCTTAGTATAATACCCTCTAGTTCCATCCATGTTGTTGCAAATGGCAAGATTTCATTTTTTGATGGCTACATAATATTCCAGTGTGTGTGTGTGTGTGTGTGTGTGTATCACGTCTTCTTTATCCATTCATCTGTTGATGGACATCTTGGCTCTTTCCATAGTTTGACAATTGTGGACATTGCTGCTATAAGCATTAGGGTGCACGTGCCCCTTCGGATCACTATATTTGTATCTTTGGGGTGAACACCCAGTGTGCAATTGCTGGGTCATAAAGTAGCTCTATTTTCAACTTTTTGAGGAACCTCCATACTATTTTCCAGAGTGGCTGCACCAGCTTGCATTCCCACCAACAGTGTAGGAGGGTTCCCCTTTTTCCTCATCCTCGCCAACATCTGTCGTTTCTTGACTTGTTAATTTTAGCCATTCTGACTGGTGTGAGGTGGTATCTCATTGAGGTTTTGATTTGTATGTCCCTGATGTTGAGTGATGTTGAGCACTTTTTCATGTGTCTGTTGGCCATTTGGATGTCTTCTTTGCAGAAATGTCATGTCTTCTGCCCATTTCTTGATTGGATCATTTGTTCTTTGGGTGTTGAGTTTGATAAGTTCTTTATAGATTTTGGATACTAGCCCTTTTTCTGATATGTCATTTGCAAATATCTTCTCCCATTCTGTCAGTTGTCTTTTGGTTTTGTTGACCGTTTCTTTGGCTGTGCAAAAGCTTTTTATCTTGATGAAGTCCCAATAGTTCATTTTTGCCCTTGCTTCCCTTGCCTTTGGTGATGTGTCTAGGAAGAAGTTGCGGCGGCTGAGGTCGAAGAGGTTGCTGCCTGTGTTCTCCTTTAGGATTTTGATGGCCTCCTGTCTCACATTTAGGTTTTTCATCTATTTTGAGTCTATTTTTGTGTGTGGTATAAGAAAATGGTCCAGTTTCATTCTTCTGCATGTGGCTGTCCAATTTTCCCAACACCATTTGTTGAAGAGACTGTCTTTTTGCCATTGGACATTCTTTCCTGCTTTGTCGAAGATGAGTTGACCATAGAGTTGAGGGTCCATTTCTGGGCTCTCTATTCTGTTCCATTGATCTGTGTGCCTGTTTTTGTGCAGTACCATACTGTCTTGATGATGACAGCTTTGTAATAGAGCTTGAAGTCCAGAATTGTGATGCCACCAGCTTTGCTTTTCTTTTTCAACATTCCTCTGGCTATTCGGGGTCTCTTCTGGTTTCATACAAATTTTAGGATTATTTGTTCCATTTCTGTGAAAAAGTTGATGGTATTTTGATAGGGATTGCATTAAATGTGTAGATTGCTCTAGGTAGCATAGACATTTTCACAATATTTGTTCTTCCAATCCATGAACATGGAATGTTTTTCCATTTCTTTGTGTCTTCCTCAGTTTCTTTCATGAGTATTCTATAGTTTTCTGCATACAGATTCTTTGCCTCTTTGGTTAGATTTATTCCTAGGTATCTTATGGTTTGGGGTGCTATTGTGAGTGGGATCAACTCCTTAATTTCTCTTTCTTCTGTCTTGTCATTGGTGTACAGAAATGAAACTGATTTCTGTGCATTGATTTTATATCCTGCCACTTTACTGAATTCCTGTATGAGTTCTAACAGTTTTGGGGTGGAGTCTTTTGGGTTTTCCACATAAAGTATCATACCATCTGCAAAGAGTGAGAGTTTGACTTCTTTGCTGATTCAGATGCCTTTTATTTCTTTTTGTTGTCTGAGTGCTGAGGCTAGGACTTCTAGTACTATGCCTAAACCCAGCAGGAGAAGAGAAATAATAAAGATAAGAGCAGAAATCAGTGAAATAGAAACCAAAAGAACAGTAGAACAGATCAGTGAAACTAGGAGTTGGTTCTTTGAAAGAATTAATAAGATTGATAAACCCCTGGCCAGACTTATCAAAAAGAAAAGAGAAAGGACCCAAATAAATAAAATCATGAATGAAAGAGAAGAGATAACAACCAACACCAAAGAAATACAAACAATTGTAAGAACATATTATGAGCAGCTATTGCCAATAAATTAGACAATCTGGAAGAAATGGATGCATTCCTAGAGGCGTATAAACTAACAAAACTGAACCTGGAAGAAATAGAAAACCTGAACAGACCCATAACCAGCAAGGAAATTGAAGCAGTAATCAAAAATCTCCCAACAAACAAGAGCCCAGGGCCAGATGGCTTCCCAGGGGAATTCTACCAAATATTTAAAGAATAATTAATACCTATTCTTCTGAAACTGTTCCTAAAAGATGGACAGAATTCTTATTCTCATAGAACTTGTAGACCATGGCAGTAGTCCTATTTCTCTTCTCCTGCTGGGTTTTGGGAAGGTCTGCAAGGTCAAAAATTATTGTCATAATAATACTAAAATACTATCTGCTTTTTCTCCTTTGACACCGTGCTGACATTTGCACTGATGATATAAAGACAATAGTGGGTACAACTGCTGGTACCTTGACATAAATCAAGCTGTGGGCATGGTCATTGTATTCACCCCCATTAGGCATTTTCAGTTAAAAACAACAACAACAAACAAACCAGTTTCATTTATGAATGTTCTTGATGAAGCAGTAAAACTTATTGATTCAATTAAAGCTCCACCCTTGAGATGAACACCTTTTTCATAATCTGTATGACACAATGGAAGTACACATAAAGCACTTCTCCTGCACACTAATGTATGATGGAGTAGTCAATCAATGGTTGAAAACTAGTTACTCATTTAGATGGAAAAGTCAAATCCCTACCTCACAACATACCCCAAAACAGAATCCAATCCCACTGAAGATTTAAATACAAAAACAAAACAAAATGATACTAGAAGAAAATGTAGAAGAATGTATTTTTTTATAACCCTGACTTGGGGCCCTTCTTTCTCAGCATTACACAAAGGCCAGAAAACATGGAGGACTTCAGTTTTTCCTTTATATATTTCACTATTGTTTTAATTTCTATGAGGATTTTTTAATAATAAAAATAATAAAACTAACCCCATTAAGTAAACAAAACAAGTCGATGCCAGCATTTTTCTTAACAAATTGCAACACAGCTTTCATTGATGTCATATGAAGAAGGAGCAAATTTTAAGCAAATGATTACACAACTGATCACAGTTTAATGGTGGATCTCATTGGAAACCAAGTATACACAATCTGAAACTCTTTACACTGTTATCCAAAGTCAGCATTTGATCCCCTTGAGAATAATGGCCCATTATGCAAACTACATAATTTCCCTAGATGTTCCAGAGGGCTAGGATTTTAAAAAGTCCATGACAGTTTACTAAAACCAAAATCAGAGAGAATAAACACAATCTCACAATGTTCTGGTTGCAACAGTCAATTGTTAACAGCTACCCTTAATATTTTTCAGGCCTGATTTGTCTTATTCCTGGATTATGGTGCCAAACCCTATGGCTTCAAATTAATTCTTATTAAAGAACCATGCAAAGATTGTTTTTTAAGTGGCAGCCCACAAGAATGGGAAGGATATGAGTCAGGTTCCTAGGTTTCCACAGGGCCTCTGTTAGTACATACTCCATACACCATTATAGGAATTAGAAAAAGACATCCCTCCCAGCAGACACATTAGAAGACTCCTCCTCCTCTAGATGGAAGAATTCAGAAAAGACACCCCTTCCACTGGGTGGCTGCAGCAGAGCATTAGCTGGTTTTCCATGTCTCTTAGCTCCCATGGCTGAAAGCCTTTTGGGAGGGGTACAGTCTGGCCAGCTGTGTGCTATAGCCCCACATCTTCATAACATAAACTCTGGTTCTTGCTGTCTGGTCACAGAATCAAACTTTAATGAAGCCATAATAGAGAATATGCATACATGTTGTATAATTCCTCCTTGACTTACTTGCGACACAAGGCTCACTTGGACATGTAGTGTGAGACAGAAGGCTAAAGAGACATAGTCTTAAAGCTCCATCTTGTATTATGTGAGAGTGAGGATCAGCAAACAAGGGCCCATAAACCAAATGTGGTCTGCCACCGGTTTTTGTAAATGAAGTTTTACTGGAACATACCCCCACTCATTCAGGTACCGTCTATGACTGCTTTCTCTCTACAACAGCATACTTGTGTGGTTCTAAGAGAGACTGCATAGCTCACAAAGCTTAAAATATTTATTATGTGGACCTTTAGAGGAAAAGTTTGCCAACCCCAGTATTAGATCACCAAATGGCACTATCTCCATCATACTGTCTACCTTTGTCTGAATGTCTTTAAGGAATTACAATTTATAATACTAGACTAGTGCAGACAGAAGAAGCAGGAAAAATACAAAAGAAAAAAAGAACTCACTTATTTAACTCAAAAATTAGGTTTATTTGATTGCAAAGAGTTGGGATAAAATAAACCAATCTCATGGGCGCCTGGGTGGCTCAGTTGGTTAAGCGACTGCCTTCGGCTCAGGTCATGATCCTGGAGTCCCTGGATCGAGTCCTGCATCGGACTCCCTGCTTGGCAGGGAGCCTGCTTCTGCCTCTGACCCTCCCCCCTCTCATGTGCTCTCTCTCTCTCATTCTCTCTGTCTCAAATAAATAAATAAATAAAATCTTAAAAAAAAATAAAAAATAAAAATAAATAAACCAATCTCAAATTATTACCTGAAAGGAAAATTTTCCTTTCATGTGGTCACACATTGACCTCATCAAAGAAGAGATTGTGTTTGACTATTTGCTGCTTATCAATTTTAAATGTTTAAGTGTCTGAAACATTAACGTGTAGATAGTTAGCTTCCTCTAACCAGATCTGTGATTGGCACTAAATCACAGTAAGTCCTCAGATGAGGAGACAGTCCTGCTTGGGTGGTTCCTTGCAGAGGAGGCAGGATTCAGAGTCCCACATGACCAACCCCATTCCATGCCTTGAGGCAGCCATGTTCTTTTTTTTTTTTTTAATGTTTTATGTTAATCCCTTAGCATAAAAAAATGGCTTATGTAATAAACACCCACATCAATCATATTTCTATATATGAAAAACTATCTTTTAAAATGATGACAATTGAGCCTTTCTGCCCGTGGATGCCACTGAGAAGCCTCGTTAAAGTCCACCCTTCCACTGCCAGCATGTCTAAATTAGAATCTCCCAAAGAGCCTGAACAGCTGCGGAAGCTCTTCATCGGAGGTGTGAGCTTTGAAACAATGGATGAGAGTCTGAGGAGCCATTTTGAGCAATGGGGAATGCTCACGGACTGTGTGGTCATGAGGGACACAAAACAAGTGCCCCAAAGGCTTTGTGTTTGTCACACATGCCACTGTGGAGGGCGTGGATGGAGCCATTGATGCAAGGCCACACAAGGTGGATGGGAGAGTTGTAGAACCAAAGAGGGCTGTCTCAGAAGAAGATTCTCAAAGACCTGGTTTGGCGCCCACTTGACTGTGAATAAGATTTTTGCTGGTGACATTAAAGAAGACACTGAGGAACATCATCTAAGAGATTACTTTGAACAGTATGGGAAAATTGAAGTGACTGAAATCATGACTGACTGAGGCAGTGGCAAGAAGAGAGGCTTTGCTTTTATAACATACCATACTGTGAATGGCCACAACTGTTAAGTAAGGACAGACCTATCTCAGCAAGCGATGGCTAGTGCTTCATCCAGCCAAAGAGGTCGAAGTGGTTCTGGGAAATGTAGTGGTGGCTGTGGAGGTGGTTTTGGTGGGAATGATGACTTTGGTCGTGGAGGACACTTCAGTGGGTGAGGTGGCTTTGGTGACAACCAAGGTGGTGGTGGATATGGTGGCAGTGTGGATGGATATCATGGATTTGGTAATGATGGGAGCATCTTCAAATTTTTGACCCATGAAAGGAGGAAATTTTGGAGGCAGAAGCTCTGGCCCCTCTTCAAATTTTGGACCCATGAAAGGAGGAAATTTTGGAGGCAGAAGCTCTGGCCCCTATGGTGGTGGTGGATAATATTTTGCTAAACCACGAAACCAACGTGGCTCTGGCAGTGGCAGAAGGTTTTCATTATTGCCAGGAAACAAGGCTTAGCAGGAGAGGAGAGCCAGAGAAGTGACTGGTAAGCTACAGGTTACAAGAGATTTGTGAACTCAGCCAAGCACAGCGGGGGCAGGGTTTCATTGCTACAAAGAAGTGAGGTTCTAGACAATACTCGTGTGTTTGGGCAAAAAGCTCGAGGATTGGATTTGTGACTAATTGTATAACAGTTTATTTTAGTTTCTGTTTTGTGGAAAGAGTAAAGCATTCTAACAAAGTTCTTTAATGGAGTTTTTTTTTTTTTTTTTTTTTTGCACCCATTCTGTTGATTGCTAAATGTAATAGTCTGATCATGATGCTAAACAAATGGGTCTTTTTAAAAATAGATAAAAAATAAATTAAAAAATGATGATAATTTACAACCTCAAAGGCAGTTCAGCTTCAAGGATTCCATGAAACTAACTGGATTTCTATAAAACCCTAAGATTAAGGCAATATCTGTTCAATTACCTAGCATTTCTTAATAAAGAACTCAGTTCACAAATTCCTCCACCAGATCATGAAAGGAAAAAGGTTGTCCTTGCAAATGAACTCATTCATTGACTTTTTAAGACAAAAAGAACTAAGTGCTTTGACTTTCTCTTTAACTGGCTTCTAATACACTCATAGCTAAATTTAGGACTCACCTAAAGTAAACTATCATTTGTTCTGTTTTCATTTTTTTAAAAGATTTTATATGGGGCACTTGGGTGGCTCAGTCATTCAGTGTCTGCCTTCGGCTCAGGTCATGATCTCAGGGTCCT